AAGATTTATGATGCAGGCACAATCAATAAAATTATTCATTTGACACACATGCATCTTTTGTTTGTTTCATTCTTGTGGATGTTTTTAGTTACTGTTATATTTCTGCACCCACGCATTTCTTTTTTTTTTACAACACTTACTCTTTGTTCTTGTATCCTGGATTCTCTTCTGCACTCTGTTCTTACTCATTTCATTTTTCTTTGTTTCAAGTTGGATTTTATTACAGCTGTCACTCTTAATTGTCACTTCTTTCACACTCAACTTTTTTCTCTTGTCATACATTTTCCTGTCGGCTCTGTGGCTAAGTCGATGCGAACGCTTCGTAATGCTGAGATGCCGGGTTCGATCCCAACTGCGGGCCATGTGCCTTGCGTTGGTTTCGACAGTGGTATCAAGAAAGCCGACCGTCCAGAGGCAATAGCAAACTACTGGAAGTAAATTTGCCTAGAAAACCCACACAACAGCCAGGGGCTTTTGGGTTTGGTTCTGCAACGTCCTGTAAAGGATACGCAACTAACCTTAATCTTAACATTTTCCTTTGTCTTTTCTGTGCTATCTCTTTCATACTTGCTTGTGTTTTTGGTGTTTGAATTATCATCTGCTCTTTCATCATCTTGCACTCTCTGAATCGTTTCTCTGCTGTTACTTTACACTGGATATGGGACTTGGAGGAATATCTTCCATATTTTCATCTTCGCTGCTGACTGGACAGTTTTCTCGTTCCCATCTTTCGGTGTCTTCATCTGTTACAGTTTTCAAATAATTCCTGTTACCTAAAATCAGATCTCCACAGGGTGCTGGCAGCATTGCCACATTTATGAATTTGTCAAGATATGGAATTTTTATGGAAACACTAGCTGTACCCGGCCACGCGTTGCTGTGGCTTAGTTTGTCTAAATGAAAAAAAAATCGCATGTGTTTAACATAGTTAATGTCGCAATCATTGTCTGCGCAGACATAGAGATAGTCTTCGATGATACCCCCCCCCCCCCCCATCTACCGATTACTAACTCGTCTGAAGTCTTTCTTTTTTTAAAGAAAGAAAAGAGAAATCGCACGTGTCTAATGTGGTTAATGTCGCAATCGTTGCCTGCGCAGATATAGAGATAGTCTGGTTTTCCAACTCTACAACACGCAACATATAATTGTGTCATTAAAGTTGTCGTTTAAACTGTATTATTAGGACTTATAAAAATTGTTATTTTGTTATCACACGCTTAAGCTGTTTGTATTTTTTAAAGAGACGGAAGTAAAGCTCAATACTGTACTTGCAAATTTAAAAAAAAATGATAATAGCTAAGGTAGCTTTAGTAAAATAAAACAAATTAGGAAAAGAAAACTTTAAAATCTTGTGATAAGCTTTCTAAGTTAACACTTTATGTCATCACTCTCTGCCCTCCCTCCTCCACCTACAACTGCTCTCTTCCTCTCCAAAGATTTTGAAAATCATCACCTGACGATATTTTTTTTGTTACTGATCTTGACATCCCTGTCCATCCGACTAAAATGGGGAGCAGCAGTTGTAATGAGAAATAAATGCAGCCAGTTTTATATTTACAACACCATTCTTCAAGTACCAGTACTACTATTACTACCACCACCACAACAACAATAACTAAACTAATGTCACTGCTATCTGTTTTACCATCGGAGTAGACAGGGGTCGTGAGCCAGAGGATTTGGCACCACATGGCTAGTGCTGTCGCCACGGACTGGTCAGGTTAGGATGTGTAATTTTGCCCCTGACAGAAAAACTCAATCACCTACTGGCGGGTACATGACAGCCCTATAGTGTAAACGGCCAACCACAACTACCACTACTGCTACTTCTATGAGGGGGCAAGGCAGTTACTGTGACCTAAAGCTCTCTCAGTTAACAGTTTGACCACACGCCCATTTCACTGACTAATCTTTCCCTAATTGAAGTAGTTATAAATGGAAGCCTATGAAAATTCAGCATACCCATGCAATCGGAAACTTTGAAATGCAATAGTATGGAAATGGTCAAATTATCAATTGGTTTATCCACATACTTTGCGCTTTTTTTTTTTTTTTTTTTTTTAAGTATTTAGAGCCACATGGCTAGTGCTGTTGCCACGACTGTGCAGGTAAGGATTTTATTCTGTCCCCGGTTTTTTTTTAAAAAAATGTATGCCTTGCTGTCATCAATAAAACACGCATTTTTTTTCAAAAATTATTCTCATATTAAAGATGTGATCTCTGGTTCCTCTTCCCTGTCTGAAACCCGTTTGTGCTTCACGTAGCTCATATTATAACTTCCTTTCAATCATCTTCGTGATAATTCGTAAGAGGATTTTGCTAGCATGACTTATAAATGCGATGGTATGGTAGTTGGAGTATAGTTTCAGATTTCCTTTCTTTGGGAGAGGGATAAAAACTGTTCTTTTCCACGCTTTAGGCCAAATACCACTGTTCCAGATCTTTGAGCACAGTGCATGGTAGATTCGGACGCTGGACTCTCCTCCTGCTTTAATTAGTTTTGCTGGAATTTCGTCGCAACCTGGTGACTTTCCTTTCTTCAGGCTGTGTATTGTGTACCTCATCCAGCAAAGTCTCTGGTTCTTTTTCATAACATTCACAAGTCGTTTTTTAATTACTTGTCAGATCCTCGTACATTTCTCTACAGTATTCTTTCTATCTTTCTAATATGTCTTTGGTTTCCGATAATGTGTTACCGTTTTTATCACTTATTACATGAAAAGAAGGCCTGAATTCGCCTTTCAATATTTTAATTTCTTTAAACATGTCTCTGTTTCTTCCTTGCATCTGGAGTTGTTCAATTCTGTTACAGGTATTCATAATAAATTGTTTTTGTAAATCTTCTCTGATAGCTCTTCTGATTTCTTTCGTGTCGTTCCTATATGCATCGCTATTTGTTTCTGTCCCTACTTGCTTTAAATTTCTCCTTTCTTCTATCAGCTTTAAAGTTTTTTCTGTAATGTAAATCCGTTTCTTGTGTCGTTATTTAAGAATCATGTTCTGAGCTGTTGTGATAATGATGTTTCTTGCTTCATTTTTGGTAGTCATCATCATGTAGCAGGTCCTCTGCAGAACGTCGCTCTCATCACAGCCTACCTGAAAGAAATTCGGTCTCTCGCCAGTTCTCCCGCCTCATGTACTTTCACACTCAAGGAGTCACTTATATCCAGGTCAAGGCTTACATGAGGGTATCGGCAGACGTTAACCACCCATTACACAAAGCTATTCACGACACAAAAGGAACGCGTCTCAAAAGAGGCCGCTCTTGAATGGCAAAGGTTGAGGATTTAATCCAGCAGGTATGTGACCTAGACGTGATCAGCCACGGAAAAGAATGGACGAATACACCAGTAGACATGCATGGCATCTCTAAGGTTGTCATCACACTCGGAAGGTACTACAGGGATCAAATTCCTGCGGCCGTAGACACAGAAGTAAGGAAACTGATAGATCAGCATTCAGACCCAGAAGATACCATCATCTACACAGATGGATCCGGGAAGCGCGGATCAAGGTCAGCATGGGCATACACAGCGCAAAGAAAGGGGGAAACAATACATGAGGACAGCGGCGCTTACCAGACAACCACGTCAAGCATGACAATGGAAATAGCCGCTACTTCTAGAGTTTTAGCATGGGTATCCGAGCAAACCGCCACACAGGTAGTAATTGTCTTAAACTCAATGAATATGCTTCAGAAGATAGCAACAGGCAGTATGCGCTCTGAATGGATAGAAAGCATTCGGAAATCGCACTTAACCTCCGTAACCTGGATCTACACACCGGGTCATGCGGGAGTGAAGGGAAATGAGCGAGCAGACCAATTGGCAAGCATTGCACTAATGATTGCGGGAAAAAGTATGGACAGAGCAGATATAGTCAACGCTGTACGAACTGGCTAGTGAAGAATGAGGAATCCTTGACACTAACACGATTGCGTGACATGGGAGTTAAGCATGGTGATGCACGTCTTTGCCGTCTTCGAGGCCGAGAAAGGAGACAATATAACCAGCTTCTCATGGGGACAATTAGTAGAAGTACTTTGGAGTGGCTGCTGCTTCGGAGAACTGAGCATGCATGGGTATGCCCAATGTGCAGTGACATTAATTGTGATAACAAAACATAAAATAACATCTTAGTAGGGAGTCGGCAGTACGAAACCCAAGTTCAAGGTGTCTCCTTTGTGCCAAAGAACTGCATGGCTGTTGGGTGAACAGTCGTTAACGAAGGCAGGCAGGTCGTTGTAGGGGCGACGCCTGCTGGTGGATGTAATGTCCTAAGTCCCTTCCCCAGCTAATAATAAGGGTACTGCTGGGGTGACCGTTTATTAACCCTCATATAATTCTTCCGGTCAAAATGGACGCTAGACACGGCCACCTTTTTTTTTCTAAAAGCCGTGGCAAATGTTTTTTTTTTCCAGACGGTGGCCGTTGCATTTTTGCTCCATTTGTAGACTGGAAGGATGTAGTTTCGTCTCCCAGCTTCTGAGTTGAGTGCATGGCGTGAAACTGTGAGCTGCGTTTGTTTTTCGTTGGCATAGGAGCGGAGCATCTGTGGGGAGACCCGTTTGCAATGAAACTGAAACTAGGATTACCAGATTACCAGATTACAAGACTTATATCCTGTGCCCATCTTCGTGTCAGGGGCCCCTGCCCCTCCTTCCTGGTACCATGCCTTCTGCTTTAATTTTTTTCCAATCCGCCGTGGCGCTTGATATGACCAAAATTGTTCAGCTTTCGAAAAAGGATGCTGTTTATTAGCCAATCTTCCTTGATGTTCAGATCTTTTGAGATGTCAATATTTCTCATCTTCTTTGTCCAAGATATTCTAAGAATCTTTCTATAGCATTTCAGCTCAAAAGACCCTATTCTCTTTTGAAAGGACTGGGAAATAGTCCACGACTCACATCCGTATGTATTTTTGGTAGTAATTTAGCTTAAAATGAATTTTTTTTTTAATCTGGCTTCCCTCAACGTACCTGGCAATCAGCAGACGATAACATGGGCAGGCGGGTGGCCGTGGTCTGTGTAGAGTATATTGTTTGATTTGTAATATATTGTCTTATCTCTGACTTGTTTCTTCTTCTTAACATTCTACACTGGGGGCAGACCGTCGTCTGTTTAGAGCTATATTGTCTGATTTATAATATATTGTCTTATCTCTGACGTATTTTCTTCTCAACATTCCACAACATGGGCGGGTGTGTGGCTAGGGTCACTGTATGCAATAGTAGTAGTAGTAGTATTTAATTATTCAGTTGTGTGTCCTGTTTCTTATTCTGTGCATTTAATTATTTCTATTCTACAACTACATCTTTTATACTAAATTGTACTTAAGTATATTAATATCTTTTGTACAATTAAAATATATTGTCCTGTTTCTTCTCTGCACTCTGCTTCTACAGTTACCTTTACTAGCAGTGGCCATGGTCAGTTTATTTAATTGGCTATCCTCCGAATAACGGGCACACAAGATAGCGGCCGCAAAAACACCCTAACAGAGCCTCAGTCACATGTCAATTGTGCACTTCTGGCGACTTAATTTGCGGTTTTCCTGCGACTGCCGCCACCACTGAGAGTATCCCCCACAACGCTTACGCGGCGTGGATTGTGGCTAAACTAGATGGCTGGGACTCAAGAGCAACATGACACACACATTTCGTGATTGTAACTGACTCAGAAAGCATGCTAAGGAAGATCAGGATAGGCATGCTTCGTGCAGAGTGGCATGCTTCACTGCGGAGGACACGGGTGAGGAGTATTTTTGTCACCTGGCACGTCAGTGTGTTGGGAAATGAATAGGCGGACAGACTGGCTGGCTCTGCACAGCTTCATGGAATACTGATACATGACAAGACAGACTGGCTGGCTCTGCACAGCTTCGTGGAATACTGATACATGACAAGACAGACTGGCTGGCTCTGCACAGCTTCGTGGAATACTGATACATGATAAGGCAGACGTGGTTAGTGCCTTGTGGGAGAGCGTGAACAGTTTGGAGGAGCAGATGGATCACCACAGTCTGGTGAGATTGATGCAGGGTGGAGTGGCAGAAGCTCGAGGTTAAGAGGAAAGGCAAGACGGACGTTTCATCAGAATGCTACTGGCACCTTTAGTATCGGAACTCTTGGCTGGCTGCTGAAGATGGGGACGGAGCGCTTATGAGAGTGCTGTGATGTCGGTACTTAAATCAAATCAATCAATCCTCTACACTCACAATGTCTACAACAAAATCGAGGCCCTCCTCTACACACTGTATGTTCACAAATGGTTGTTTGCTGCTAGGGTTCAAACCCCAACCCCCGGATGTGTCTCAGTGACAGAACACTGGCTGTTATGTTGCACCATGCCAGAAGCCAGCACAGAAGTGATGCTTAAAGCTGGAAGACAATGTTGAATTAAGAATCAACATCACAGCACTCGGGACACTCCCATAAGAGCCCCGTTACCATCTTTAGCTGCAAGCCAAGAGTTCAGGTTTTGATGACACCAGTAACTGTCCGATTGTATATCTGTCTCCCCTTTTACTTGAGTGTCAGCCAGATCCCTTGATAACTCCTCACAGCACTATTCTCCTCAAACCATAATGGTCTGTTTGTGCCTCTGCACTGTTCACTCATTCATAAAGGGCCCTCACAACCTCTAGCTTGTCATAAATCAGTTCACTATCAAGAAGTGCAGAATCGACCAGTCCATCTGCCTGCTAATTTCTCAATACACCGGCATGACCAGGAGAATATATCTAAACTGCACTAACTACTCGTGATCTCTGAAGTGATGCTTGCCACTCTGCATGGAGCGTGCCTGTCTTTACTTTTCTCAACATGCTTTGTGAGTCAGTTACAATTACGGCATGTATGTATAGCCAGCAGTGACTGCCTCTACCTCCTTTCTCACACTAGATGTTGTAATATCATATGCCAGGCTTTGTTGCACTAAGCGACATTCATTCGCTTTTGCTATAAACCCCCATGCACTTGGTCTGCCTATCATCACAGAACCATCCGTATAGATAATTGCGATACCTGGGCAGGAATTGTCATGAATCATTTGTTGAAGCTCTTATTCTGCAGCACCAGGTGGGGTCATTGTTGGTCCTGCAGTCACGGCCAAAAGTGATTAGAACTGTAGGCACGTCTGATTCTTGCTCTGACACTTTGACCCACTTGCACTCCTCTCTTCGTCCACATTTATCAAGCCTGCACACATGTCTAATTGTGTCTTCCACTTGTGCTATCCAAAACCTTCCTCTTTTCAGTCCATGACCCTTAACTCTACCTTGGGCTTCATGCAGGGGGTGTTTCTTGTTTGTATTTTTGACTTGCTTGCAGAACTTTGAACCTATCTGCAATAGTAGAGCTAGAATTACCCACATGGCTTTAATCTGTATGCGTTAAAGTTTCATCAACTGACTCTTTGATATGGTAAGCATTCCAAGTTCATAATCTATCACCGACAGGATCACATGCTGGAACATTGTGAACAGCATTCTTTGTTCCATGTCCATTGCTGTCGTAATCTTGAGTCCTTTTTAGCATTTCACAGCAGCTGCCTTCAAATGATTCCTGAAGGACAGACATCTATCGAAAATGATATTCAGGTGCCTCTGTTTTTTTCTGTTGATGTTTCTGTAATTAATTGTGAGGCTTGGAACATTCGCTCTGACAATTCAAAAACAGCCACTTTTTCTGAGTCAATAACAGAAGCCATCTCTGCACACCAGTCAGTGACTTTGTCTACAGTTGCCTGTCGCTCTCATATGGAAGACCATATATGCTTGTTTAGTAACTCAATAGCTAGTGATACCTGAACACTTTCACACAGGATCAATATTGTTTAGTAACTCAGTAGCTAGTGATACCTGAACACTGTCACACAGGATCAATATTGTTTAGTAACTCAATAGCTAATGATACCTGAACACTTTCACACAGGATCAATATTTTCTTCTGCAAAACATGACTCTTTCAGGCAAATATAACATTATGTATGTGTGTGTGAGAGAGAAAGATATTTATTGATTGTGTATTGGAGAGATTGATTGATTTGTGAAGGAGAGAGATTGATTGATTGTTTAAAACAGTTCTCTCTACCACCAGGTAACGGGGGCAAACAGAGGTATCGGGCTTGGCATTGTCAAAGGTTTGTGCCAGCAGTTTGATGGGGATGTCATTCTCACAGGTATACCTGCAGTCACACTCTCCTCATGACTCTCTCTCTCTCTCTGTGTTTAACCCTCTTAGCACGGACGGGCCGATTATCGGCAGGCGGATGTCTGGCCAAAAACACGGAACGGCCGATCATCGGGCCGATCGTGCTTCGCCTCGAACCGCTAAGAAATCTCCTACTTTGAAACACTGAAAGTGATTCATTTATATTCAGTGCTGTATCAGCTTTACACATGGCTACTTTTGAGTGTTTGGTATCGAAGTGAAAATTGTTGTTGAATTTTTTAGATAGTGACCTGAACTGCTAAAAGTATGTCTGACTCGTATGTTTCTGCCCCTAAACTTGATGTTAATAAAACATTTGAATCAAGTGATGACACTAATTCTGTTGATACTGATGCAGGATTTAGTGTTAGTAGTAATAGTGGGGAATCAGATGGGGACGCTGTTGTGTTCAAACGACAGTCCAACCATGGCGCAGGGTATATCCACCCGAAAGTGTTGACACTCCGGCACATCCATTTCTTGTGCTGACTGATAGTGAAAAACACATGTCACCTAAAGATATTATTGCTGTTTTATATATATATATACCTGTTTTTGAGTATTGAATTGCTTACAACACTTGCAAAAAGGCCAAAGATCAATAAAAAGATTTGAAATTTAAAATAAATTTTGTTTTTAGTTTTATGTTTCATGCATTGAAGTTGAAAATTCAAATTCAAATTTTCTATTTTTAGATATGCAAATGAGATAATTTGTATATACATTAATTAGTTTTAACAATATTGTGAAAATCATGAACTTCAATCTATATCCTTCAAATAGATATATTATTTCATGGGGGTCAGAATAACAGAAATGTGTCAAAAAAATTAAATAAAGTAACAACCAAATTCACTGAAAAAATGCTCCGTGTTTTTGGCTAGACATCTGAAAAACTTCCCGTGCTAATAGGGTTAACATTGTTCTCATATGTGTTTCTCTGTTTACTCACATTTCTCTGTTTACTCACAAATGTGGCTTCCAGGGCCCCATTTAAGATGAAAAGAATTGAACCCCTCCCCTCCCCCCGCCCCTCCATCCTCAGAACCATGTCATAATGGTGTTTCTTTCCCTTGTGGATCTGCTGAGAGGCAAGAAATCAATGTCTGCATACAGATCAACCAGATCTGAAATATGCATATGCAGGCAACACTCGGGTTCTCAAACACAGTCAAGTCCAGAAGTGTACAAACAACCAGATCTGAAATATGCAGGCAACACTCGTCTTCTCAAAGAAAGTGAGATCTAGAAGTGGACAAACAACCAGAACTTTCTGCTGGAGTTTACAGCCAGTGAACCACAAGAATTTGCATTATTGGCACACGTGTCTGTGTACTAACATAATTCTCATGGGCAGATCTGTATGTATGACATGTCTCTAATGATTTCTAATATTGTTTATTTAGAATACATTTGTTCTAATTCATAGTCAGCTTTCCAAGTTAAAAATGAGGCTTTATCTCTAGCCCAGACTCCTTCAAATAAATCATAGACAGTATGTGCATGGTTGCAATGTTGTATTTATAAACAGTAGATTAGCAAGATTTGGGTCATTGCAATAATCAACTCTTCAATTAGATGTGCATGCAACACTCAAGTCCTCAAACAAGACTAATGTCCAGAAATGGACAAACAACCAGGTCTTGTCACCTCAGTTTACAGCTGGTGAACACTGAGGAGAATATGGAAGATTCAAGACATGAAATCTGACTTCTGGTAATTGTGTGCCTGACATCACTTGCTGACACTACATTTGGGCTTTCAGTCTTGTTTTTGTCATTGTTGTTGATCAGCTTGACTGGTTCATTCCTGTAAACATTGACTAAATCTTGACCTTCAGTGTTATTATTGTTGATGTTGGACTTTGATCAACTTGACTGGTTTATTCCTATACATACTGGCTATTTGATGAAACCTAATTTTAGTTCTGAACCAGATCCTAGCAGACTTCAATGTTTCTGCTTGTTTCAATAATCAGCACGAGATGAAGTCAGGGGTAGAGCTGCGGTGAAACATCTAGAGAAAGAAGGTCTGCTGGCCAAGTTCCATCAGCTGGACGTCACAGATCATGACAGTATCATGCGACTGAGGGATTTTCTACAGGAGAACTATGGTGGCTTGAACATACTGGTCAACAATGCTGGTGTTGCCTTTCTAGAGGTATCTGAGTCCATCTGTGTGTGCATCTCTGGGAATATGCTGTATTTATATAGTATGTTGTCATGTACTCATCAGCCCTAGTAATGGTCTCACCAGCTCTCATTGTGTTATCATGTGCTTTTATTGTGTTATCATGTGCTTTTATTGTGTTATCATGTGCTTTTATTGTGTTATCATATGCTTTTATTGTATTATCACCAGCTCTTATTGTATTATCACCAGCTCTCATTGTATTATCACCAGCTCTTATTCTATTATCACCAGCTCTTATTGTATTATCACCAGCTCTCATTGTATTATCACCAGCTCTTATTCTATTATCACCAGCTCTTATTGTGTTATCACCAGCTCTTATTGTATTATCACCAGCTCTTTTTCTATTATCACCAGCTCTTATTGTATTATCACCAGCTCTCATTGTATTATCACCAGTTCTCATTGTATTATCACCAGCTCTTATTGTGTTATCACCAGCTCTCATTGTATTATCACCAGTTCTCATTGTATTATCACCAGCTCTCATTGTATTATCACCAGTTCTCATTGTATTATCACCAGCTCTTATTGTATTATCACCAGCTCTCATTGTATTATCACCAGTTCTCATTGTATTATCACCAGCTCTCATTGTATTATCACCAGCTCTTATTGTGTTATCACCAGCTCTTATTGTGTTATCACCTGCTTGCCACCAGTTACATACTTGCTTACACCATGAATATCTGTGATGAATAAGAGATGAATGTTGTCCATTTGTGTCCATTTGCTGACAGTCGTCAACCCCATTTGCTGAACAAGCAGTACAGACTGTCCAAGTGAATTATTTTGGTACTCTGGAAACTAGCGCCATTCTCTTCCCCCTTCTGAAACCCCATTCTCGGTAAGTACCGCCATTGTTTCATTATTGGTCAATATTTTATTTGTTTGATTGTTTGTTAATACATATGTGTGCGATTGTTTGTTGCTACATATGTGTGAGATTGTTTGTTGGTAAATATTGTGTGCTTGAGATTGTTTGTTGGTACATATTGTATGTGTCTGATTGTTTGATGGTACATATTGTATTTGTCTGATTGTTTGTTGGTACATATTGTATGTGTCTGATTGTTTGTTGGTACATATTGTATGTGTCTGATTGTTTGTTGGTAAATATTGTGTGCTTGAGATTGTTTGTTGGTACATATTGTATGTGTCTGATTGTTTGATGGTACATATTGTATTTGTCTGATTGTTTGTTGGTACATATTGTATGTGTCTGATTGTTTGTTAGTACATATTTTCTGATTGTTTGTGTCTGATTGTTTGTTGGTTGGTAATATTGTATGTGTCTGATTGTTTGTTGGTAAATATTGTGTGCTGTGAGATTGTTTGTTGGTAATATTGTGTGCTTGATTGTTTTCTTGGTACATATTGTTTGTTGGTAAATATTGTGTGCTTGAGATTGTTTGTTGGTACATATTGTATGTGTGAGATTGTTTGTTGGTACATATTGTATGTGTGAGATTGTTTGTTGGTACATATTGTATGTGTGAGATTGTTTGTTGGTAAATATTGTATGTGCTTATATTGTTTGTTGGTACATATTGTATGTGAGATTGTTTGTTGGTACATATGTGTATGTTTGTTGAGATTGTTTGTTGGTACATATTGTATGTGTGAGATTGTTTGTTGGTACATATTGTATGTGTGAGATTGTTTGTTGGTACATATTGGTGTGCTTGATTGTTTGTTGTTTGTTGTCTGATTGTTTGTTGGTACATATTGTATGTGTGAGATTGTTTTTGTTGGTACATTGTGTGTGTGTCCTGATTGTTTATTGTAACATATTGTGTGTGTCTGATTGTTTGTACATTGTATTGTATGTGTCTGATTGTTTGTTGGTACATATTGTATGTGTGAGATTGTTTGTTGGTACATATTGTATGTGTCTGATTGTTTGTTGGTACATATTGTATGTGTGAGATTGTTTGTTGGTACATATTGTATGTGTCTGATTGTTTGTTGTTGTAAATATTGTATGTGTCTGATTGTTTGTTGTTGTAAATATTGTATGTGTGAGATTGTTTAATGTACATATTGTATGTGTCTGATTGTTTGTTGTTGTAAATATTGTATGTGTCTGATTGTTTGTTGGTACATATTGTATGTGTCTAATTGTTTGTTGGTAAATATTGTATGTGTGAGATTGTTTGATGGTACATATTGTATGTGTCTGATTGTTTGTTGGTACATATTGTATGTGTCTGATTGTTTGTTGGTACATATTGTATGTGTCTGATTGTTTGTTGGTACATATTGTATGTGTCTGATTGTTTGTTGGTAAATATTGTATGTGTGAGATTGTTTGTTGGTACATATTGTATGTGTCTGATTGTTTGTTGGTACATATTGTATGTGTCTGATTGTTTGTTGGTACATATTGTGTGAGTGTGAGATTGTTTGTTGGTACATATTGTATGTGTGAGATTGTTTGTTGGTACATATTGTATGTGTGAGATTGTTTGTTGGTACATATTGTATGTGTGAGATTGTTTGTTGGTAAATATTGTATGTGTGAGATTGTTTGTTGGTACATATTGTATGTGTCTGATTGTTTGATGGTACATATTGTATGTGTCTGATTGTTTGATGGTACATATTGTATGTGTCTGATTGTTTGATGGTACATATTGTATGTGTCTGATTGTTTGATGGTACATATTGTATGTGTCTGATTGTTTGTTGGTACATATTGTGTGAGATTGTTTGTTGGTACATATTGTATGTGTCTGATTGTTTGATGGTACATATTGTATGTGTCTGATTGTTTGATGGTACATATTGTATGTGTCTGATTGTTTGATGGTACATATTGTATGTGTCTGATTGTTTGATGGTACATATTGTATGTGTCTGATTGTTTGTTGGTACATATTGTGTGAGATTGTTTGTTGGTACATATTGTATGTGTCTGATTGTTTGTTGGTACATATTGTGTGAGTGTGAGATTGTTTGTTGGTACATATTGTATGTGTCTGATTGTTTGTTGGTACATATTGTGTGAGTGTGAGATTGTTTGTTGGTACATATTGTATGTGTCTGATTGTTTGTTGGTACATATTGTGTGAGTGTGAGATTGTTTGTTGGTACATATTGTATGTGTCTGATTGTTTGTTGGTACATATTGTGTGAGTGTGAGATTGTTTGTTGGTACATATTGTATGTGTCTGATTGTTTGTTGGTACATATTGTGCGTGTGATTGTTTGTTGATAAATATAGAATGTGTGTGATTGTTAGTTGATATATAGTGTGTGTGTGTGTGATTGTTTCTTGATAAATATTGTATGTGTGTGATTGTTTGTTGATAAATATTGTTGGTACATATTATAATTGTGTGATTGTTTGTTTGTACATATAGTATGCCACAGCTGTATCCATATATGGTCATACATGGCACAGCTGTATCCATATATTGTCACACATGGCACAACTGTATACATATATAGTAACACATGGCACAACTGTATCCATATATGGTCACACGTGGCACAGCTGTATCCATATATATATATATATATATATATATATATATATATATATATATATATATATATATATATATATATATATATATATATATATATATATAAAAATAAGCACTCATGGCACAACTGTATCCATATACGGTCACACATGGCACAGCTGTATCCATATATTGTCACACATGGCACAACTGTATACATATATAGTCACACATGGCACAACTGTATCCATCTATATGGTCATACATGGCACAACTGTATCTATATATCATCACACATGCCACAACTGTATCTATAAATAGTCACACATGCCACAGCTGTATCTATAAATAGTCATACAAACCACAGCTGTATCTATATATGGTCACACATGCCACAGCTGTATTTGTATATTGTCACACATGCCACAGCTGTATCTGTATATTGTCACACATGCCACAGCTGTATCTTTATATCGTCACATATGCCACAGCTATATCTATATATGGTCACACATGACACAGCTGTATTTATTTATCATCACACATGCCACAGCTGTATCTGTATATCGTCACACATGCCACAGCTGTATCCATATATGTTCACACCATGCACAGCTATATCCATGTGTATTCTCAGTTGCTACAGGTGTGTAGACAGCTCTGTGTGTACTTTCAGTGTGTGTAATGTGTCCAGCATGGCAGCCACAGATGCTTTAAGAAAATGCTCTCCAGAACTGCAGGCTAAGCTGAGTGACCCTGGTATATCCATGGAGGAATTGTCTGGCTACATGACTCAGTTTGTGCAGTACGTATTCTATGTTGTTCTCTGCTGTCATATATCCATGGAGGAATTGTCTGGCTACATGACTCAGTTTGTGCAGTACGTATTCTATGTTGTTCTCTGCTGTCATATATCCATGGAGGAATTGTCTGGCTACATGACTCAGTTTGTGCAGTACGTATTCTATGTTGTTCTCTGCTGTCATATATCCATGGAGGAATTGTCTGGCTACATGACTCAGTTTGTGCAGTACCTATTCTATGTTGTTCTCTGCTGTCATATATCCATGGAGGAATTGTCTGGCTACATGACTCAGTTTGTGCAGTACGTATTCTATGTTGTTCTCTGCTGTCATATATCCATGGAGGAATTGTCTGGCTACATGACTCAGTTTGTGCAGTACGTATTCTATGTTGTTCTCTGCTGTCATATATCCATGGAGGAATTGTCTGGCTACATGACTCAGTTTGTGCAGTACGTATTCTATGTTGTTCTCTGCTGTCATATATCCATGGAGGAATTGTCTGGCTACATGACTCAGTTTGTGCAGTACGTATTCTATGTTGTTCTCTGCTGTCATATATCCATGGAGGAATTGTCTGGCTACATGACTCAGTTTGTGCAGTACGTATTCTATGTTGTTCTCTGCTGTCATATATCCATGGAGGAATTGTCTGGCTACATGACTCAGTTTGTGCAGTACGTATTCTATGTTGTTCTCTGCTGTCATATATCCATGGAGGAATTGTCTGGCTACATGACTCAGTTTGTGCAGTACGTATTCTATGTTGTTCTCTGCTGTCATATATCCATGGAGGAATTGTCTGGCTACATGACTCAGTTTGTGCAGTACGTATTCTATGTTGTTCTCTGCTGTCATATATCCATGGAGGAATTGTCTGGCTACATGACTCAGTTTGTGCAGTACCTATTCTATGTTGTTCTCTGCTGTCATATATCCATGGAGGAATTGTCTGGCTACATGACTCAGTTTGTGCAGTACGTATTCTATGTTGTTCTCTGCTGTCATATATCCATGGAGGAATTGTCTGGCTACATGACTCAGTTTGTGCAGTACGTATTCTATGTTGTTCTCTGCTGTCATATATCCATGGAGGAATTGTCTGGCTACATGACTCAGTTTGTGCAGTGCGTATTCTATGTTGTTCTCTGCTGTCATATATCCATGGAGGAATTGTCTGGCTACATGACTCAGTTTGTGCAGTACGTATTCTATGTTGTTCTCTGCTGTCATATATCCATGGAGGAATTGTCTGGCTACATGACTCAGTTTGTGCAGTACGTATTCTATGTTGTTCTCTGCTGTCATATATCCATGGAGGAATTGTCTGGCTACATGACTCAGTTTGTGCAGTACCTATTCTATGTTGTTCTCTGCTGTCATATATCCATGGAGGAATTGTCTGGCTACATGACTCAGTTTGTGCAGTGGGTATTCTATGTTGTTCTCTGCTGTCATATATCCATGGAGGAATTGTCTGGCTACATGACTCAGTTTGTGCAGTACCTATTCTATGTTGTTCTCTGCTGTCATATATCCATGGAGGAATTGTCTGGCTACATGACTCAGTTTGTGCAGTACGTATTCTATGTTGTTCTCTGCTGTCATATATCCATGGAGGAATTGTCTGGCTACATGACTCAGTTTGTGCAGTACGTATTCTATGTTGTTCTCTGCTGTCATATATCCATGGAGGAATTGTCTGGCTACATGACTCAGTTTGTGCAGTACGTATTCTATGTTGTTCTCTGCTGTCATATATCCATGGAGGAATTGTCTGGCTACATGACTCAGTTTGTGCAGTACGTATTCTATGTTGTTCTCTGCTGCCATATATCCATGGAGGAATTGTCTGGCTACATGACTCAGTTTGTGCAGTACGTATTCTATGTTGTTCTCTGCTGTCATATATCCATGGAGGAATTGTCTGGCTACATGACTCAGTGCGATGATTCTCTTTTATCTTCTACTGGCTCGCCTCATCGCACGCTCGCTGCCAACCCACACAACCGACATCACACGACGAGCAGAAAAAATGGACGACTGGGAAAAACACACGATACTGTTCCAGTACTTTAATCTTCCACTCGCGGCTTACACAGCCGGCACATGAACTTGACAACTGTCCAGGCACACATTATAATGCAAGTGTCACAAATTACCTTCAAGCAGAAATCACAATCACACTAACATCTTGAATGAAACACAGCAGCTGTCCTGACCGACAAACTCAGACGACCCACAGACATATTACTGGCCAGCTTTTTTCGCCAAGTTGGACTGGAACAAATTCACTCACAAAAACATCTGCTGAATCTACACATCATCCACCGCTGTCCATGCACACTGTTCCTAGGTCCAAAACGAGACTGCCCACAAACCTTTTCCTCGCTATTATATAGCCCTCTGATCTATCCTATTCTAGAATATTCTGGATTCATTCTCACGAATTTCCCACTGTTGAAAGTCGTGTCTGGCCCGTGATAATTCACATTTCACACAGATCCTGTGAACAATCATGTTTCACATAAAACCTGACTTTCAGATGTCTCTCATGAAACTCAAGACATAAATCTCGTGTTATCTCAACCAGTCAAAACATTCGTCTTACATCTATTACTGACGTCATCTATCGGGCATAAATTAATGAGGAGAAAATGACTCACTACATTCTCCCCCACCCCAAAAAAATGTTTTACATTTTCAATTAATCAGGTGTGAACATTTCACTGAACATTGTGATTCTAGACCTTTGTAGTGAATCATTTTCGACAAGTTCATTTCCAACCAAGTTCCCTTTATCTCATTAGGTTAACAATTCAAACACTCTAAAATGCCATCTGTTGGGTCTTTGCACGACTGTGAATACCTTAATGGGATCCTCACCCCAGGCACTCCCCTTTTAGTGCGGAAGACCAATAATCTGGCTCCATAGGTATCCCCACCCAGTTCTAAAGTCGGTCTACAACCGAACCCCTCTCCTGGCACCCCCCGATCGGTGCGGAAGTCCAAAATCTTGGCTCTAAAACCGAAGTGTGACCCCATGAAGTCCCACCCTCGCTATTCCCATTCATGAAAGCCCTCAACAATGGCTAAATCAGCAATGTATGGTTTTGTTCCCAACTATGTAAGGTACAAGATGTAGTTAATTACCTTGTCTTCAGAAACCACAACATGTCTCATTAACACACATATTCAAATTAAATGCTACACCAATTCAATTTAGTATACTAGTAAATGTAACATTTTCTGGTGAGGTGTATTTTAATCCTGAATGTTGTCTCCCTTTAATTGTTTACTATATTATTATCTTGAACGAAACACAGCAGCTGTCCTGACCGACAAACTCAGACGACCCACAGACATATTACTGGCCAGCTTTTTTCGCCAAGTTGGACTGGAACAAATTCACTCACAAAAACATCTGCTGAATCTACACATCATCCACCGCTGTCCATGCACACTGTTCCTAGGTCCAAAACGAGACTGCCCACAAACCTTTTCCTCGCTATTATATAGCCCTCTGATCTATCCTATTCTAGAATATTCTGGATTCATTCTCACGAATTTCCCACTGTTGAAAGTCGTGTCTGGCCCGTGATAATTCACATTTCACACAGATCCTGTGAACAATCATGTTTCACATAAAACCTGACTTTCAGATGTCTCTCATGAAACTCAAGACATAAATCTCGTGTTATCTCAACCAGTCAAAACATTCGTCTTACATCTATTACTGACGTCATCTATCAGGCATAAATTAATGAGGAGAAAATGACTCACTACACTCAGTTTGTGCAGTACGTATTCTATGTTGTTCTCTGCTGTCATATATACATGGAGGAATTGTCTGGCTACATGACTCAGTTTGTGCAGTACGTACTCTATGTTGTTCTCTGCTGTCATCTTATTTAGCAAATTTGTGTTGCTCAGGTTCAACGGGAGCATCAAAGAATGATCTTCTTTCTGCCCAGTGAGAAGTTGATGTTATTCTTGCCTACAGTCTTGGAAACAAATTGTTGCTTAGGTCTGTCCACAGAATCAAAGAATGATTTAACTAGTGTTATTATAGGAGGATTAAGGAGAGGTGGGTTAATGCAGGAATTGCTCTCTTATCCCATAGAAAACTTGAGCTGTCTTCAGTAAAAGGGTTTTATTTAAGTTCTTGTGCTGCATGGATGGATAATTTTGATTGGTTTACTTGTGTGTGTTGATATCTTATTTACTTGTGAGTGTTATCTTTTTTACTTGTATATTGATATTTTATTCGCTCGTGTATGTTAATATCTTATTTACTTATGTGTGTTAATATCTTATTCACTTGTGTGTGTTAACATCATAATGTTATGTTGAACTGAGGTGTGTTGCAACAGGCTGGCTCAGGAGAATAAACACAGAGAGCATGGCTTTCCAGATGATGCCTATGGGTTTTCCAAGATTGGCATGACCGTCATGTCTATACTGCAGCAGAGGCAGCTGGACAGACAAGGGCTAGATGATGTTGTAGTCAATGGTGTAAGTCTACTCAATGTCTTCCTTCCATTCTGTCAAGGTTGTTTGTTTTGTAAACTTCACATCGGAAGCTGGTTCTACACCAGATTCTAGTATTCTGTGACCTCACACTGCTTTAGGAAAGACTGGCTTGTATACATCAGTTCATGTTGTGTGTGGCTGGTAGTCCTGACTGTATTGATGCTGTGTTAGTGTAGTCCTGACTATATATTGATGCTGTGTTAGTGTAGTCCTGACTGTATATTGATGCTGTGTTAATGTAGTCCTGACTGTATATTGATGCTGTGTTAGTGTAGTCCTGACTGTATATTGATGCTGTGTTAGTGTAGTCCTGACTATATATTGATGCTGTGTTAGTGTAGTCCTGACTATATTGATGCTGTATTAGTGTAGTCCTGACTGTATATTGATGCTGTGTTAGTGTAGTCCTGACTGTATATTGATGCTGTGTTAATGTAGTCCTGACTGTATATTGATGCTGTGTTAGTGTAGTCCTGACAGTATATTGATGCTGTGTTAGTGTAGTCCTGACTGTATATTGATGCTGTGTTAGTGTAGTCCTGACTGTATATTGATGCTGTGTTAGTGTAGTCCTGACTATATATTTATGCTGTGTTAGTATAGATCTGACTATATATTGATGCTGTGTTAGTATAGATCTGACTATATATTGATGCTGTGTTAGTATAGATCTGACTATATATTGATGCTGTGTTAGTATAGATCTGAGTATATATTGATGCTGTGTTAGTATAGATCTGACTGTATATTGATGCTGTGTTAATGTAGTCCTGACTGTATATTGATGCTGTGTTAGTGTAGTCCTGACTATATATTTATGCTGTGTTAGTATAGATCTGACTATATATTGATGCTGTGTTAGTATAGATCTGACTATATATTGATGCTGTGTTAGTATAGATCTGACTATATATTGATGCTGTGTTAGTATAGATCTGACTATATATTGATGCTGTGTTAGTATAGATCTGACTATATATTGATGCTGTGTTAGTATAGATCTGACTATATATTGATGCTGTGTTAGTATAGATCTGACTATATATTGATGCTGTGTTAGTATAGATCTGACTGTATATTGATGCTGTGTTAGTGTAGTCCTGACTATATATTGATGCTGTGTTAGTGTAGTCCTGACTATATATTGATGCTGTGTTAGTGTAGTCCTGACTATATATTGATGCTGTGTTAGTGTAGTCCTAACTGTATATTGATGCTGTGTTAGTGTAGTCCTGACTATATATTTATGCTGTGTTAGTGTAGATCTGACTGTATATTGATGCTGTGTTAGTATAGATCTGACTATATATTGATGCTGTGTTAGTGTAGTCCTGACTGTATATTTATGCTGTGTTAGTGTAGTCCTAACTATATATTGATGCTGTGTTAGTGTAGTCCTGACTGTATATTTATGCTGTGTTAGTGTAGTCCTAATTATATATTGATGCTGTGTTAGTGTAGATCTGACTATATATTGATGCTGTGTTAGTGTAGTCCTAACTATATATTGATGCTGTGTTAGTGTAGTCCTGACTGTATATTGATGCTGTGTTAGTGTAGTCCTAACTATATATTGATGCTGTGTTAGTGTAGTCCTGACTATATATTGATGCTGTGTTAGTGTAGTCCTGACTGTATATTGATGCTGTGTTAGTGTAGTCCTAACTATATATTGATGCTGTGTTAGTGTAGTCCTGACTGTATATTGATGCTGTGTTAGTGTAGTCCTGACTATATATTGATGCTGTGTTAGTGTAGATCTGACTGTATTTTGATGCTGTGTTAGTGTAGTCCTGACAGTATATTGATGCTGTGTTAGTGTAGTCCTGACTGTATATTGATGCTGTGTTAGTGTAGATCTGACTGTATTTTGATGCTGTGTTAGTGTAGTCCTGACAGTATATTGATGCTGTGTTAGTGTAGTCCTGACTATATATTGATGCTGTGTTAGTGTAGATCTGACTGTATTTTGATGCTGTGTTAGTGTAGTCCTGACAGTATATTGATGCTGTGTTAGTGTATCCTGACTGTATATTGATGCTGTGTTAGTGTATCCTGACTGTATATTGATGCTTTGTTAGTGTATCCTGACTGAATATTGATGCTGTGTTAGTGTATCCTGACTGAATATTGATGCTGTGTTACAGTGCAGTCCAGGTTATGTAGCCACAGACATGACTCACTGGAAGGGACATTTGAGTGTGGAGGAAGGTAAGTCAGCTGTGAGAGTTGGCTTGTCCCATTGATTGTGACATCTCTTGTGTCTTGTTTGTTGAGACATCTTATCCCATTGATGGTGACATCTCTTGTGTCTCATTTGGGGGAACATATTTTGTGTCTCATTTATTGGGATGTCTCCTGTGGAGTTTGTTGAGACATTTCTTGTATCTTATTTGTTGGTATGTCGCCTGTGTCTTATTTGTTGGGAAGTGTCCTGGGTCTCATTTGTTGGGATGTCGCCTGTGTCTTATTTGTTGGGAAGTGTCCTGGGTCTCATTTGTTGGGTTGTCGCCTGTGTCTTATTTGTTGGGAAGTGTCCTGGGTCTCATTTGTTGGGATGTCGCCTGTGTCTTATTTGTTGGGAAGTGTCCTGGGTCTCATTTGTTGGGATGTCGCCTGTCAGACACCTTTTATAGGTGTGACACAAGTACAATTGTTATTTGTGCCAGGTGTACCCACACTTTCATGAACGCTGATGACCTTGTTCCAGTTCTTAAATAATGTTTATTTAAGAACTCTTGATAATTGCAAAGTTAGTATGTTTATTTAAGAACTCATGATAATTGCAAAGTTAGTGTGGCTTCCACACAACGTTATCGACTACTGAGTAGCCACAGATTTTATTCTTATGGTTCACAAGCACACGAATCTCAGATAGTCACTGGCTAAATACATCAACAGTACGCTGGTATAGCTGATCACAAACTCATCCTCGCAATATGAACAAAGTCATGAGAGGCTAGCTGATGCCTCTATAGCAATAATTCCGTATCCTCCTAACTACTACACTTAACTTTATAATCCTGCTATACAACAGAAACACTTGTCACCAGTATGAATAACCACTACTGTTCTGTTCACAGTTTTTAAATCCAGTCCATGCCAAGCGAAAAACAATTCCCACCTTTTAAAAAGGGCTTAAACAAACACATCCTTTCACTGGACTGTCCAACTACTAACTGCAGTGTGTCACTCTACCTGTTTGTCCAGTCCCCCTGTAACCTCCCCACTCAGTTACCTGTGTCGCCGTGCGGGTCTACACACAACCCGTCTGACCAGTAATTGACCTGTCTGCTGTTATGAGTCAGTCTAGTCGTTGTTTGTCTTTATCTCACAGTGTGTGGTAAAGTTGACTCATGACACGCCTGTGTCTTATTTGTTGGGAAGTGTCCTGGGTCTCATTTGTTGGGATGTCGCCTGTGTCTTATTTGTTGGGAAGTGTCCTGGGTCTCATTTGTTGGGTTGTCGCCTGGGTCTTATTTGTTGGGAAGTGTCCTGGGTCTCATTTGTTAGGTTGTCGCCTGGGTCTTATTTGTTGGGAAGTGTCCTGGGTCTCATTTGTTGGGTTGTCGCCTGGGTCTTATTTGTTGGGAAGTGTCCTGGGTCTCATTTGTTAAGATGTCGCCTGTGTCTTACTTGTTGGGATGCCTCCTATGTCTCAATTGTTGGGAAGTGTCCTGAGTCTCATTTGTTGGGAAGTGTCCTGGGTCTCATTTGTTGGGATGTCGCCTGTGTCTCATTTGTTGGGAAGTGTCCTGGGTCTCATTTGTTGGGATGTCGCCTGGGTCTCATTTGTTGGGAAGTGTCCTGGGTCTCATTTGTTGGGATGTCGCCTGGGTCTCATTTGTTGGGAAGTGTCCTGGGTCTCATTTGTTGGGAAGTGTCCTGGGTCTCATTTGTTGGGATGTCGCCTGGGTCTCATTTGTTGGGAAGTGTCCTGGGTCTCATTTGTTGGGATGTCGCCTGTGTCTTACTTGTTGGGATGCCTCCTGTGTCTCATTTGTTGGTACATATCTTGTCTTTTTTGTTGGAATGTCTCATTTTTTTGGGATGTCTCCTGTCTCATTTGTTAGGATGTTGCCCGTGTCTTATTTTTAAAAATATCTCCTGTGTGTCATTAAAAAATTTTTTTTCCTGGGTCTCATTTGTTTGGATGTCTCGTTTGTTGGGTTGTCTCATTTGTTTGGATGTCTCATTTGTTGGGTTGTCTCATTTGTTAGGTTTTCTCATTTGTTGGGTTGTCTCATTTGTTTGGATGTTTCCTTGTCTCATTTATTGGATTCTTTATCTTTGGTACTTTTTTATAGTCAAATGTGTGTGTATGAATTTTAGACAAACAACAAAGGTTGAGTATGTGTAACATTTAAGGGCCTTTTTGCTGCACATCTTGAAGCCTATCAATGGACGGTGATAACTAATTATTTGTGTTGACCAATCAGCACTAGGTGGCTGATGTGGGCAGTACCATGCCAGGCTCCTTCACTTCCTGGAACCCGTGAGAGACCTTGAAGCCAAGGCCAGTTTTTAGGAATCTCTCCACTGGAATTTTGAAACTATGACTACTAGATTATCAGGCAAGTCAGATTTCCCACCAGGCAATGAAGTGACCTCTTCATGGGAGCTGTGTTGCGGAGCTCTCTAAATTCAGGAGCCAGGAAAGTATGCAAGACCTCTAAAACTGTATCTTTATAGAGAAGAATGGTCACCTTTGGACCACTGGCCAGTTTGTCCATACTGTCTGTAAAAGGGGCTCCATTGTCTTGATCATTGTGAAACCTGGCCCTAGACTTGTCACCCAAGTCACTGACTGACTTCCACAGAGCTTAGTAGTCAGGTCTGCTGGGTGCCATATGTCGCTGACTCTAAACTTGTCACTCAAGTTACTGATTTCCCCAAAGCTTAGTTGTCAAATCTACAGGGTGTAGCCACATTGCAGTGATCTTCATTGTGTTTAATTGCTGGCTCGAATGAGTCACCGCATCTTTCCATCAACTGACAAGAACGAGAAAACATGGACGCTGGCAGACGTTTAGAAGTTACACGTACTGTTTATTTTCACTCGCTGATGTTGCTGTCAGTAAATGTTTATATACGATTGTATCACTCATCAATGTTCTAAACAGTCAATCATACCTTTGTAACATCGTAGAATATACACACAATTCAAAGAACACAGTAGCTCCCTCCATCCAGAACGACAGTCATTCACAGCTGGCCACCGTTTCCGTCAGCCGCTATTTTATGCCAGGTAGGCATTGGGAAATCACGCTATTCAGACGTCAACATTCTTTTATATAGCCCTCTGATCTGTCCTTTTCTCGAATATTCTGGATAATTTCATTCTCACGAATTCCCCCCGTTGAAAGTCGTGTCTGGCCCGTGATAATTCGCACTTCACACGAATCCTGCCAGTCAACCTTCATGGTTCACGTGAACAATCATGTTTCACATAAAACCTGACTTTCAGATGTCTCTCATGAAACTCAAGACATAAATCTCGTGTTATCTCAGTCAGTCAAACATTCGTCTTACATTTATTACTGACGTCATCTATCGGGCATGAATTAATGGGAAGAAAATGACTCACTACATTCTCCCCCACCCCAAAAAATGTTTTACATTTTCAATCAATTAGGCGTTAACATTTCACTGAACATGGTGATTCTAGACCTTTGTAGTGAATCATTTTGGACAAGTTCATTTCCAACCAAGTTCCCTTTACCTCATTAGGTTAACAATTCAAACACTCTAAAATGCCATCTGTTGGGTCTTTGCACGACTGTGAATACCTTAATGGGATCCTCACCCCAGGCACTCCCCTTTTAGTGCGGAAGACCAATAATCTGGCTCCATAGGTATCCCCACCCAGTTCTAAAGTCGGTATACAACCGAACCCCTCTCCTGGCACCCCCCGATCGGTGCGGAAGTCCAAAATCTTGGCTCTAAAACCGAAGTGTGACCCCATGAAGTCCCACCCTCGCTATTCCCATTCATGAAAGCCCTCAACAATGGCTAAATCAGCAATGTATGGTTTTTGTTCCCAAATATGTAAGGTACAAGATGTAGTTAATTACCTTGTCTTCAGACACTACAGCATGTCTCATTAACACACATATTCAAATTAAATGCTACACCAATTCAATTTAGTATACTAGTAAATGTAACATTTTCTGGTGAGGTGTATTTTAACCCTAAATGTTGTCTCTCTTTAATTCTAATTGTTTACTATATTATACCCGTTCAAATCAAACATATACATTTTCCAAGTTGTAAATTCATATAATACATTCATACAATAATACAATGCATACCCTTGCATAAAATGATTTCAGTTAATACAAGTTGTAATAGCAGTTGCAACATGTTCTACAAACGTGACATAATATCTGGTAAATGATTGTCTGATCCTTTGATGTGTTCAATGTTAAATTTGAATTGTGATATCAACAATGCCCATCTATATACCCTTGGATTGCTATTGGCATCAATTGTTAATAATTTTGTCAACCCCAAGTTATCTGTTAAAATAGTGGAAACTTCTTAAACTTTTTTAAACTAATGACTAGTGCCAACGCTTCTCGTTCAAATGTATTGTATTTTTGTTGAGTTTGGTTAAGTTTCTGTGACATATACATTACTGGGAGTAATGTTTGTGAATGTTTCTGCGCAAGCATACTAGCTATTGTGTGACCGCTGGCATCTGATTGTAGAAAAAATCTTTTGGAAGGGTCAGGTTGTCTCAAAATAGGATATTTTGAAAAACAGTTTTTTATTTTAACTAGAATTTCCTCATGTGTCTCATTCCAATCTGATTTTTTCAATTGTTGATTCTTTAATAACTCTGATAGTGGTGATGTTAGTGCTGCTAAGTTTGGGATGAATTTACCATAATAGTTTATTAACCCTAGTAGAGATTGGAGCTGCTTTTTAGTTTTAGGTTTTTGTTTCTTCAAAATTTTTGAAACAATATTTTCATCTGTCTGGACTAAACCTTCGCATATAACATGTCCTAAGTAATCAATTTTGGTGTATGCAATTTCAGTTTTTAAAGGATTCACTGTCAATTTCGCATCATTTATTCTTGATAGGACTTTTTGTAGGGTAGTGCAGTGGTCGTGCAATGTTTTGGTGTGTATACAGATGTCATCCATGTATGCTGTGACGTGAGGAATTGCATATAACAGTTTCCTAACCATTTTTGTGAAGATTTT